GAGAGTCCAAAAGTGGCAGGCCCAAACCCAGCATCTCAATCCATGGGTGATACCAGATGAGAGACTCCTTCCTGGGCACTCAGAAGACTGGGCAACTTGGAAGGCGCTGAACAGACTGCGCTCTGGCACCACGAGATGCAGAGCCAATCTTAAGAAATGGGGCTACAGGGTGGAATCCTCGGCATGTGAGTGCGGAGAAGAGCAAACCACTGACCACCTGCTGCAATGCACCCTGAGCCCTGCCACATGCACAAGGGAGGACCTTCTTGCGGCAACCCCAGAGGCACTCCAAGTGGCCAGATACTGGTCAAAGGACATTTAACCAACTACCAAGTTTGCAAAATCTGTGTGTTTTTTTTTTCTTTTTCTTTTTAATCTGTGTGTTTGTTTTGCTCTGTTAGAATTGTAATACAATGGTATGGTTGCTGATGACACGATAAATAAATAAATAAATAAATAAATAAATAAATCATCCAACCACAGATCTGTTATAAGTGGTTTTAGGGCAGCATTTTTCAACCTGGGGATCGGGATCCCTGGGAGGTCGCGAGGGAGGGGGGCGGGTGTCTGAGGAGTCACCAAAGACAATCAGAAAACACAGTATTTTCTATTGTTCATGGGAAATTTCGCCCAATTCTATCATTGGTGGGGCTCAGAATGCTCTTTGATTGCGGGTAAACTATAAATCCCAGCAACTACAACTCCCAAATGTCAAGGTCTGTTTCCCCCAAACTCCTCCAGGGTTCACATTTGGGCATACTGAGTATCCCAGCCAAGTTTGTGCCAAATTTAGTCCAGTAACTGAAAATACCTCCTGCATATCAGATATTTACCTGACGATTAAGAGTAGATGTGGCTCTTAATGAGACATGCCGCATCATTAAACCCTGACTGTGAGAGAGGAGATTCCATCTGAACATGAGGAAGAACTTCCTGACTGTGAGAGCCGTTCAGCAGTGGAACTCTCTGCCCCAGAGTGTGGTGGAGGCTCCTTCATTGGAAGCTTTTAAACAGAGGCTGGATGGCCATCTGTCAGGGGTGATTTGAATGCAACATTCCTGCTTCTTGGCAGAATGGGGTTGGACTGGATGGCCCATGAGGTCTCTTCCAACTCTTTGATTCTATGATTCTATGATTCTATATATACCCTATATATCTATAGGTATATTCTATATATCACCCGCCTCATAGGAAACCTGCTACAAAACAGGAGCTTTTTTGTTGAGTACCAGGTCCAGAGAAGCAGATGGCAGAAACAGAAGAACGACCTGCCTCAGAGAAGCGTGCTTGCTCCATCCATGTTCTACACTTACACAAATGACCAGCCACTGCCAGAAGGGACAGAGAGTTTCACTATGCTGATGATCATGCCATCACCGCTCAAGCAGGGAGCTTTGAGATGGTTGAACACAAGCTCTCCGAAGCTCTAGGTGCTCTTACTGCCTATTATTGGGAAAACCAAATGATCGCTAATCCATCTAAAAAACAGACATGTGCCTTTCACCTTGAGAACTGACAAGCATCCCAAGATCTGAGGATGACCTGGGAAGGAATCCCACTGGAGCATTGCAGCGCACCCAAATACCTGGGAGTCACTCTGGACCGTGCTCTGACCTACAAGAAGCACTGCCTGAACATCAAGCAAAAAGTGGGTGCTAGAAACAATATCATACGAAAGCTGACTGGCACAACCTGGGGATCACAACCAGACACAGTGAAGACATCTGCCCTTGCGCTATGCTACTCTGCTGCTGTGTACACATGCCCAGTGTGGAACACATCTCACCACACTAAAACAGTGGATGTGGCTCTTAATGAGACATGCCACATTATCACGGGGTGTCTGCGCCCTACACCACTGGAGAAATTACACTGTTTAGCAGGTATTGCACCACCTGACATCCACTGGGAAGTAGCAACGAAAAGTGAAAGGACCAAGGCAGAGACATCTCCAGCTCATCCCCTGTTTGGGTATCAGCCAGCACGCCAACGACTTAAATCTAGACATAGTTTTCTAAGATCTACAGAGACACTCGCTGGAACACCTCGGCAAGCAAGAGTCCAAAAGTGGCAGGCTCAAACCCAGAACTTCAATGAGAGACTCCCCCCCTGGGCACACAGAAAACTGGGCGACTTGGAAGGCGCTGAACAGACTGCGCTCTGGCACCATGAGATGCAGAGCCAACCTTCAGAAATGGGGCTAAAAAGTGGAATCCACGAGGTCTCTTCGAACTCTAGGATTCTAGGATTCTTCAGTGAAAGCACTGTGAATTCTTCAGTGTTTACAAGATCTGAGCAGGGCAGTGGATGACGGGGTCCTTTGAGGTCCTGCGTTCATAGGGTCACCATAAGTCAGAGTGCGCTTGACAGCGAATAATGACAAATCCAATTAAGCCAACCTCAGCCAATTACTTATATTACTCGAAGGTGATTATGTCTGCATCAAAGTGCAGGTGGGGAAGGGGGATATGTATGATGTGCTCAGGGGGTGATGTATGATGTATGTAAAAAAAAGGAGACCCCAAATTCGGCCTAATTCGGACCGCTTATCTACATTAATAATCCCAAACCGGTCTCCTAANTAAAATAAATAACCACTTTCCCTGCCATGGCTCCATGCTAGGCCCCAGCACTCTTTTGCAGAGAAGGCAATGCTACAACTCCCGGTCTCCATAGCATTGAACCAGTGCCGTTAAAGTGGTACCAAACCGTAGTGCCGATGCACCCTCTGTCTCCTGGTGGACAATCATTCTATTATGCACTAGCCGTCCCCTGCCACGCATTGCTGTGGCCCAGTCTGTATATGTGTTTTGTGTGTGTGCATATGTGTGGTTTTCTGCATGCATTGTAATGCATTTTTTTCCAATCCCTTCTGTTGTGTTTTTCAGTGTTTTGATGAGTGATGGTCACTCCTTGGCCTGAGAGGTGTCTTGTGTCCAAATTTTGTGTCAATTCATCCAGTGGTTTTCGAGTTATGCTAATCCCACAAACGAACATTGCATTTTTATTTATATGGATTTATTCATTACTGTAAGGTAAAGGTTTTCCCCTGACATTAAGTCCAGTTGTGTCCGACTCTGGGACTCTGGTGCTCATCTCCATCTCTAAGCCGAAGAGCCGGCGTTGTCCATAGACACCTCCAAGGGCGTGTGGCCATAGGCATGACTGCATGGAGCACTGTTATCTTCCTGTAGGAGCAGTACCTATTGATCTACTCCCATTTGCATGTTTTGAAACTGCTAGGTTGGCAGGAGCTGGACCTAACAGTGGGAGCTCACCCTGCTCCCTGGATTCGAACCTGCGTCCTTTTGGTCAGCAAGTTCAGCAGCTCAGCGCCGCATCACTGGGGATTCCTCATTGATATAAGGAAAACTAATTTATGGTTTTTTCTAACCCTAATAATAATAATAATAATAATAATAATAATAATAATAATGATAAAAATGATGATGATGATGATGATGATGATGATAATAATAATAATAATAATAATAATAATAAATCACACAGTCCTAGATGCCTGGGAAGTGTTTGACTTGTGATTTTGTGATACAAAATCCAGCATATAGATCTCATTTGCTGTGACATACTGTGTTTTTGTGTCAGTAAAATAATAATAATAATAATAATAATAATAATAATAATAAAGTCTGATTTTTCTGCAAAGAAGTCCATTTGATTGGAAGCCATGGATGCCAGATGCCAAGACATTTGGGGGCAAACTCAGCCTTTCTGAGCCACTTGGCTTGCAAATAGGGAGAAACCCCAGGATGTGCATTGGGATAGGTGAGCA